TCGGTGACATCTGGTGCTACCTACATCTCCCACCTCCTCGTCTCTCCTCCCACCTTCATCTGTGTATGTGTGTACGGGGCCTGAGCATCGTCTATGTATGGCTCAGACCCCACCATCTCACGATTGTATGTGTGTGGAGTGATATCTGTGTGAGTCAGTCTATGTGAGTCAGTCCGTTTATCAGTCCGTTTATCAGACTTCCGTTGCATACATACTCATCCTATATTGGTTGATCTTTGGTTCTGCCCCATACTCGTTGATAAAATCACGAGTATGTAACATCTAGACTGCAACCTCTGCATGCATTTTATACTGTTCGGTCCTCCGTGTGGTGGTGTATTTCCGCAGGCAGTGGGACAATTCAGGTGAACCCATTGTGTTTTCCACTGGTCTTCAGTACTGAATCTATCCGATCAGTCACCTGCACTACAGTAGCCCCCAGTGCAGTGATCTTGTCATGCTGTGTGGACTGTGAAATTGTCATGGTTTGAAGCTTATCTTCCTGTGGTGCACTCGCCGAGCCTTTTTCTTTCCCCCCACCTGCTGCCGTGTGCTCGTCGGGGCCAAAAAAAATCTTTTTGGACTTAGGTCTCTCTTCTTTTTTCTTTCGCGATTCCTTCGGTGAGCTTGCCAAGGCCAAAACTTTCTTCGACTTAGATATGATATGGTTTTCTTTTCTTTTCCGCCGCCCCCACTTCCTTCATCATCTGTTGTTCCACCTTCAATAGGTCCTCCTCCTTCGATAGGTTCTTGTCCAGCTTTGCCTTCTAATCTTCCGGCTCTGCCTCGATTGGTTTCTTTTCATCCACCATCTTTCCTGCGCCTCTTGTCTCTCCCTCTTTTTCCTCTCCTCAGTCTTGGAATGCGCTTCAGCTGCCATAAGTTATTAATTAAATCACCTCTGGCCCCCGAACCTGTTTCGTTGAACCTACTGGTTTTCATGACTGTGGAACACTGGACCTAAAGGTTTTGGGCCTCAGGGGCCAAAACAGGGTGTGGACATTTCCCGCCAGGATTCGTTTTGGCCATCATCCAGAAATCTGTTCTCGATTTTTTCTGAACCTTTTCTGATATTTTAGCCAAAGACGTTCGCTCTTCATCTACATACCTGACGTCTTTTTTTTCCAGTTTCTTTGTGGGCCAAATAGGATGAGCATGAAAAATTGCCGAGGTTGGCACACCCAAAATTTTGGACCCTCCCACCAGGCCCCTCTGCAGCCTGTAGGCCGACGACCCTCCCGAACATCAGATTCCCCTCCTGAACATTCGAGCTCACACTTCAGTGCAGATGGACTCTGCAGCCTGTAGGCTGACCCATCCCAAACGTCAGATTTGGCTCCCGGAATGGTCGAGTTCACACTTGAGAACAGATAGACTCTGCAGAAAACAGTAGAACAGCTTCAGAAATCTCAGCAGCTCATGATAGAGGAAGAAGATCAACACAGAAGGATGCCTACGTTCCACGTTGGCGACTTGGTATGGGTTAAGTCATCGGAGCTCACCCCGGAGGGTAACACCTTACGGAAAATGATGCCGCAGTTCTAATGACTGTGGACAGTTTATTAGGTGTTGCAGAAGATGACTATGCTATTTATATATGATTGATGCCCCTCCTCACCTTCGCAGTTATCCGGTCTTTCACGCATCCAAGCCGTCAACATTTCAGAAAACAATCAGTTTCCTTCTCATCCACCAATGGATGGTCAAGTCGATTTTGAGCGAATTGTGGAGCACCAGTCCTTCCGGTACTTAAGCGACTACGGTGACGAAGACCACAGAAGCCGCAATTTCAGTTCCGTGTTCACTTCGGACATCATGTGGATCCGAGTTAAGAATCGTGGTTTACAAGAGAGAACTCTGCACCCCAAGTGGTTTTGCGTTATGAGAGGCTCTCAAATGAGGGTATCTCAGAGGACTTTCGGACCTATGGGGTTGGGAATGCAAGGCTCTAAGGCCTCATGTAACCAGGAAAAAGGCCACGGCCAGGTAGCTACCTGGTAGGCCCAAAATCAGAGCCCCTTCGGGGCAGCTACCTGACCGGTAAGGACCAGACTGGGAGGCAGTCCCTACCAGGAGGCCCAGAGCCCAGTCTGCCAGCACACAAAAGCAGGGGCCGAGGTGGCTGCAGACATTGGGCAGCCGGTGCTTGCTTGCGTTAATGCTGGCGTTCTGCATGCAGCAAGCGGAGCGGTCCAGCACCCAGGCAGACAGTGCTAGCGGTGCGCTGGCAGCTCGAAGGGCGCCGCACTGTGGAGGAAGGGTGGCAAGGTGGAAGGCGAGGTCCTGGGAGGGAAGACTGCGGGAGAGGTGGATTGATACCTGGTGGCCGGCAGGAGAGCACAAGTGTGATTCCACTCTGCAGTGGACATCTAGAGTGTGTGTGTGCGCACGCACGCCAGAGAGAGAGAGAGAGAGAGAGAGAGAGAGAGAGAGAGAGAGAGAGAGAGAGAGAGAGAGAGAGAGAGAGAGAG